ATTTGCTTGCTTTTAGATCGTTAAGTCACGGTTCCCAGCAGATCACCGAAGTCAAGCATCACTGGCTACGGTCAGTGTGAGGGTGGGGGACCACTTGGATCAGTCTACGTAGGGATCGAGGGTGTGCGGTATTGGTCCTCGTTAAACTGTGCTACCGTAAAGTGCTCGACTTCGCACGCAGGTCGTCGAGCTACCGTAATAATATTGAAATTTTATAAACATCGTGGAAATACGTCATTTTAATTTGCGATAAAGTTTGCGCAAATAAAGTACGTCGAAAACGAGTTTATTTAAATGCCCCATTTCAAACTTTCAAAACGTAAAATAAATTTTTAAAATAATTGCGGTTTCAGAAACTGCGTGAAAATGGGTAGCAATAACTACGGACACACATGAACAGCGTCAAAAGTGATAACTAGAATTCAAAATTCGTGTATCGTAATAATGTCGTTTTGAAAATATGGTATTTTCAAAACTATGCGTAAATCCGTAGGGTTAAAAATCGAAAAAAAGAGATCGAAAAAGGACATTGATTGAGATTGGGTGTGTACCTTACTAAGCAATTACTGATTTTTTTTTTTATTTAAAAAAAAATTCTTCTTCTTTTTTTTCTTTTTTTTTTTTTGATTATTTTATTTAGGTTGTTGCCGCAGGCCGCTCATCGACAGTTGGCGGGCATTTATGAAACTAAACATTTTTGAAACTTAATCCCTTAATTACGCGGTCTTGCCTGCTTTCGCAGCTGACTATTTTACCAACTATTTAGTTGTATTTTTACATTTTTCAAGATCTTATTATGTACGCAACCACGCAAATTATATTTTCAATAACATACTAATCAATTGTGCTAGTCATTTAGTTTAGGTCTTTCTTTAAATTAAAGGTTCGTTTTTAAATTATTTTATTTAACAACCGTCGTTGAACAGCCGACCCAGATTTAGAGTTTAGGACTATTATTTTTCAACTCCGTAGTCTTCAAATTTTGAAGTCAATACAGAAGAAAAGGGAAAACTAAGATCAAGTATAGGGCGAAATTTCGACTTCGTGGAGGACATTTGGTGGAACTAACCAGCATTTGCGTTACTTGAAGAGGAAAACCATGAAAACCTCCATCAATTAGCCCGACTGCAAAGGGACTCCAAACCGTGATCTATCCTACCACTGAAGATATTTCAAGTCAGCACTGTGGTCGATTCATGCAAATTTACAGATTTTACTCTCGCTTTTGGACTCTCCACCTACGCTNCAGCGTCAAAAGTGATAACTAGAATTCAAAATTCGTGTATCGTAATAATGTCGTTTTGAAAATATGGTATTTTCAAAACTATGCGTAAATCCGTAGGGTTAAAAATCGAAAAAAAGAGATCGAAAAACGACATTGATTGAGATTGGGTGTGTTAATAACCTTACGAAGCAATTACTGATTTTTTTTTTTATTTAAAAAAAAAATTTCTTATTTTTTTCCTTTTAGGTTGTTGCCGCAGGCCGCTCATGGACAGTTGGCGGGCATTTATGAAACTAAACATTTTTGAAACTTAATCCCTTAATTACGCGGCCTTGCCTGTTTTCGCAGCTGACTATTTGACCAACTATTTAGTTGTATTTTTACATTTTTCAAGATCTTATTATGTACGCAACCACGCAAATTATATTTTCAATAACATACTAATCAATTGTGCTAGTCATTTAGTTTAGGTCTTTCTTTAAATTAAAGGTTCGTTTTTAAATTATTTTATTTAACAACCGTCGTTGAACAGCCGACCCAGATTTAGAGTTTAGGACTATTATTTTTCAACTCCGTAGTCTTCAAATATTGAAGTCAATCCAGAAGAAAAGGGAAAACTAAGATCAAGTATAGGGCGAAATTTAGACTTCGTGGAGGACATTTGGTGGAACTAACCAGCATTTGCGTTACTTGGAGAGGAAAACCATGAAAACCTCCATCGATTAGCCCGACTGCAAAGGGACTCTAACCCATGATCTATCTACCACTGAAGATATTTCAAGTCA